CCCCTCCCCGCCCCCGCCCCAACTCCTGCAGCATCAGGATAACCTTTACCCCAGCTGACCCAACCATTAGTGGTTCCTCTTCCTAGGGTAAGCACTCTCCTTCCTTGATCTCTTTAAAATGCACCCCCACTCACACACTCTACCAAAATGAATTTGCAGAAAAATGGTACAGAGGTACAAAATACACAACCACATATCTTATGTTTACTATAGATTCAATAGACATAAAATTCCTCCATCAAATTGCTGTAGAAGTTTCTGAGAGCTCCCACTGATTCCTATGGTTCAGTGTGGCACCTGCACGTTGAGCAGCAGGGCCATGGAACACCCTACCCTCACTCTGCCCCAGCTCATCTTAGGGCTGCCTCTTCCCCTCAAGGCTCAGCTTACATATCTGGTCCTTATCACCCTGTCTCATTATTCAAAACCTTCCCATCTATCAACTTGCTGCTTATTGCCTATGTTCCACCTACATATCCCAGGACCTGTGCCCCATTAGAACAGGAGACTCGTGTTTTGCTTGCCACTATAATCCCAGATCCCAGAAAGATGCCACTATTACCCCTGTGCCTGGCACAGAGGAATGCTCAATAACATTTGTTGCCTGAAAGGGAGGGAGGAGAAGTAGAGATGGAGGGAGGGAGGAGAGAAGAAGGAAGAGGAAGAGGAAGAAGAGAGAGGGACGGAAGAAGGAAGGACAGAGGAAAGAGATAAAAGCAGAGAGAAGGGAGAGGAGGAGGGGGAGGAAGTGGAGGAAGGAAGGGAAGAGAAAGAAGGAAGGAGGGAAGGGGAGACAGACAAAGATGAAGGAGAGGGGAGAGGGATGGAGGAAGGAGGAGGAATAGGGAAAGGAAGAGGAGGAGGAAGAGGAGTAAAAGGTCAGGGAGGAAGTAAAGAAGGACACAAGATACGCTGAGAGCACAGGAGAAAGAGAACTTTCTACCTTGAATTTAGAGAAGGCTTCTGGAAGAGGCGATGGAAGAGTAGGCTCTTAAAGGAGTGGAAGTTTTCCTAAACAAATTAGTTGAGTGCAGAGGTGGGGTGAAGGCATGCCAGGCAAAGATCAGCAGAAGCGAAGGCACAGGGCTGCCTGAGGCAGGGGTGAGGGAAACAATCAGAGGCTTGAGCAAACCCTGAGGGTGTCCATGGACCTTGGAAATGGGGCACTCCACTACTTTAAAAAGTGAGGAATCCAGCTCTCTTACTACCATCCTAACGCAGTTCTGGTTTTTGTGCCCTGCTTTGCCTGATCAAGTCAAGTAGAAGCAATTCTGATTCCCTGCCTCCCTCCCTGCTCTCCCTCTCCAGTCACTCCATCCCCACCGACTGTGCCAAGGGCCAGCTGTCAGGGCAGCCACTCTGTATGAAGCAATACTACGGGCTCTTCTCCTCCTACCGCCTCCCTGGCCACATCCAGGATACACTGGTGGCCCAGAAGAGCAGTGTCATGCCCGAGCCAGAGCATGTCATTGTGGCCTGCTGCAACCAGGTCAGTCGCCCCTCTCTGCTGCATCTCAGGCTTGGGGAGGGTGCATGAGTACTTACCCACTCCTATTTCACCAGGCATGCTCAGCCCGCTCTCAGAGGCAGACAGTGAGCTGGGACAGCATGACCCCAAAGTGGGGTTTCTTGATTCCTACTCAGTCCCATTTCTCTCCATGAATTAGATTTTAAGAACAAGGAGAGTCATCAATTGAGAATGACTTATGTGGGCTCTTATATGGGCCCTGACCAGCCAGGTCAACTCAAAAGAACTTCCTGGATGGACTGAGACCCTGCATGGCCTTAGCAACTCCTCATGAATCACCCAGGCTGTGGCCTTCCTGGAGACCACATGCAGACATATGGACAGCTTAACAGACTGCCCATCGGGACATCCATGTCCAGGCCTTAGGCTTGGCACTTACATGTATGCACCCCACCTGGTTCTATAGTAACCTTGCAGAGGGGCCTTTAAATCTCCATCTGAAAAAAGGGGAAAGGGGACTTAGACAAGTTGAGTGGCCTGTCCAAGACTGAGAAGGACTCCCAGGCCTGGCCAATGCCCCATCTCCTGCAGCTCACGTCTTCATACTGGGTTCCAGGAACCAACAAGGACCCATGGGGCCCCAGGGGATAGTCTTAGCATGAGGGCTCCTGACCCCTTACCAGTGCCCACTAGGCGATTTGGTCTGTATATTGAGACTCCACCTCATGATTTCATCTGACAAAAAGCGGTTTTGTTTAGGATTTGGTTTTTTTTTCTGGTTTTGTTTTGTTTTGTTTGGGTTTGCTTTGGTTTTTGAGTTTTGGTGGGGTTTTTTTGTTTTTTTTGTTTGTGTGGTTGGTTTTGCTAAAAACCTACCCCCCAGGATTCCCCTGCTATTTGTGCTACAATGTTTTCTTCTTGGGTTCATCTGACATTTTCTAGGATAGGAGCTCAGTGAAAGTCTGCCATCCTAGGTTAGCGTTCCCACTGGAAGCCCACATGACAGTTTAGCCACAAACAAGAAACTTTCTCCGTCTTCATTCAAAAGTCAAACTCATTTCCCAGCCCCTATGTGCTGCAGTATCCATCCATTTCAGAAATGCTCTTGGGGCTCCTGCTCAGAACCAGGCCACATGTATGCTTCTCAGGACATGGGACCAGGTACTTATGTCAACCAGCAGAAAAGGGATCTTGACTTGGGGCTAGATAAGACCTTTCACAAAGACCAAGACTCTGGCTTCAAAGCTACTAATGATAGCTCACAGGTCTCACATACAAAGCACATGCATGTACACCTGTATATGGGCACACAAAGGGATAGAGCATTTTGTGTGTTATTTTTCCATTTGAATCTTCCTCTGCTTATCATTTGCTGACTTGCTTTTTTTTCTCCACTCACCAGTGTGTTTGAGATCTATCTCTAGCTGTATCTAGAGCTAGTTCATTCCTATTTACCAATGAGTAGACATGCATTAGATAAATAAACTCATTTAATTTAGCTGTTCCCCTTCTGAAGAACACGTAGGCTGTCTCTACCATTTTGCTATTGCAAATAAGGCTTATATGCCCACCGCTTCACATATCTGGGCACAAGAGTGTATGTTTCTCCAAGCCTAAGGCTAAAGTATGCATTTATAAGAGTGACTGCTGAATCATAAGGTATGCACATTTTCAGTTTTGATAGACACTGCCCTCCAATAGCAATTGTACCAATTTATACTTAATTCCCCACAAACATAATAGTTTTACCTGAAGTAGGAACCATAGAAACAGGTTTTATTTTAGCTAAGGTTAATCTGGCCCTCTTTGATTTGGGGAAAGAGTCCCCAAATGCTGAGTCCAGCCCAGTCAACAGCATTTGGATAGGTCCCCAACATGTGACTTTTCAGGGAACCATCACATACCTTGAGCCTGAGTATCCCCTATCTATACGCATGTGTGAAGGCTCAGTGAAGGCCCTTCACCTTGGGCCGGCTGCCATGAGTGACGTGTTTGACCTGTTTCCCCCACAGTTCTTTGTCTTGGATGTTGTCATTAATTTCCGCCGTCTCAGTGAGGGGGATCTGTTCACTCAGTTGAGAAAGATAGTCAAAATGGCTTCCAACGAGGATGAACGCTTGCCTCCAATCGGCCTGCTGACGTCAGAAGGGAGGAGCGAGTGGGCTGAGGCCAGGACGGTCCTCGTGAAAGGTTAGCAGCAGTGCCCAGCGCGTCTCCACGCTCATCTCATCCTCATGCCCATTGGCTTTCCTTCCTCCAGGGTTGGGCACCATGCCTCATCCCCATTTGCCATAGCATGGGGAGCTCAGGCCTCCCTCCAACTCAGGACCCTATGGAAAGTCAGCTGAGGCACCTGGAAGTTACAGGCACCTCGTTTTTCATCTGACAATATTCTAGCTTCCTGGGTGAGGCTGATGAGCACTGGAATCCTGGAATGTCTGGGAATATTGAGGGACGGAAGTGTTGAGCTGGAGGAAGGCTGGCTACAATTAAGCAGTTGTGTTTTACTGGTGGGCAGCAATGGTACCCATTTTAGGGGTCTGAGTCACTGGGAGAGCTGTCACCTGGAGATCTGGGATGGAGCACAGCTCTGGGAGCATGGTTGGCTGCCTCCTTCATGTGATTTCTCAGTCCTAGAACTTTTCATCTTCAAGCTGACCTATCCTTGTGGCTGGCTTGCTGCTTTTATGAAAGTTTCCAAGCATTCCCACAAGAAAGCTGGTAATAGTCGTAATAATTTTAAATCATCCTCCGGAAACTAATTTTCAAAGCTAAAGCCAGCCTTATTCCCAGGAATTAGATGGAGTGCTTTCCTTTTTTGCCTCTATTAGAGACTGGGGAATAAAAGGGAGGCTTCTGTGGACCTCCATCTGCCCCTTGGGCTCTCATTTGGCCAGATGTCCATTCAGACTCCCTGAGTGTCTATCAGCTGAGGGTCTGGGCTAGGCGTAGAAAGTCTAAGAGGCAGAGAGGATGAAGCTACTGCCCCCAAGCAGCCCACTGGACAGGGTAAGGGAAGGCATGGGGGAGCAGATTCAGGTACACAGTAAGGCAGCATCTACCCATGTAAAGCAATAGAGACAGCAGGTACCAAATAAGTGCTCCGGGACTTCAGCGAGGAGAGGGAGCCCTTCCACTTGGGAAGCTTTTGAAAGATTTCATTGGAAGAGGTGCGAATTTTGCAAAGCTCTTAGACATGAGTGAGAAGAGCAGGAGGGAGGGATAGCAGGCTGGCTGTGGGCAAAGCCGACTGCCCAGCAGGGACATGTCTGCCCTGCCTGGTTCCACATGGAGACCAACCAGCCAGCAAAGATGGCCATGCTGGACGTGTTGAGAGAATGAAAAGGTGGTAGGGCCTGGGTCTCGGGCAGTAGGCACTTACATTTTCTGATCCCTCTCCCTAGAAAGTTCTTTTGCCAGGGTTAACTGGCTCCTTGCACCATCCAGAGCTCAGCTTAGGTGTCACTGGCTCAGACCCTCCTAGTGCATCCCCAACTCAGCACACTCTGTCACCTTGTCCTATTTTCTTACCTTGTTTGCATTTGTAACTCTCTGAAACCAGCATCTCATCTGTTTGATGCATGCTGATTATCTGCCTCCCTCCCCTAGTCTATGAGTTCTAGGGGAACAGGGGCCTCATCTGTTTGGATTAACTTTTCAATCTGCTGTGCCAAACACAGTTGGGCCCCAATGATATTTGTTAAATAAATGAATGAAGGGTTACTAATGATACTAGGCCCTAGACCTATTGCCTACCTACGAGTTAATTCTTTTTCATTCAATTATTGGGTACCCAAGGAATGCTCAGTCCTAAATCAGGGGATGCATGGGACACAGGAGGGTGTGAGAGCTGACCCCATTCTCACAGACCTGACCACCAAATGGGGGAATTAATAACTTGTCATTGGGAAGTGAGTTAATTCCCTCAGGAGACCATAGTGTAATCAGATCCCACTCTCCTCCCCTCCAGGGACAGAGACAGGCATCAAACAATCGCTTTTGCTTCCAATACAGTTTCCACTTTATTAGCAGGCCAAGCTATCTCCCTGCAGTACTGACCGGGATTGCCTTGAGGTTTAAGTGCTTGGGCTGTGCTAATCGGAATTAATTTGTTAATGGCACTTGATCTGGCTTTCTGAATGGAAGTGCTGTTTCTGAGGGAAGTGTGACAGAAAAGAGGGGCCCACACGATTTCCCTTCGGAAATCCAATTAATCTGGTTAGCACTGACTGTGTCATCTGCACAGCAGGAAACCAGTCCTTCAGTATAGATGTGAAAGATCGTGGCAGCTTGGACTAAGGTTGAGAGTAAAGATGGAAAGACATGGTGAGGTCCAGATATATTGCAAAGTAGAAGTAACAAGGAGGAAAAGAAAAGAGAATGGTTCCGAGGTTTTTGATTCAAGCAACTGAGTAGATGGTGGTACCATTCACTGAGATGGGAACCAGTTTGGGGAAGTGGCTGCAGAATGAAGCCCTTTCTAAGTGTGTCAGGTTTGAGATGCCTTGAGTCATCTAAGTGAAGATGTCAAATTAGATCTATGTGTCTGGAGCTCAAGACAGAGGTCAGTACAGAGACATAAATTTGAGAGCCATCAGCACATAAGTGATATTTAAAGTCATGGACCTGGGTGAGATCATCTAGAAACAGCAGAATGGGTCCTCAGAGGTCAGGTAGGGAAAGATACAAAGAGGATTGAGAAAGAGCAGCCCATGAAGTCAAGAGCAAAACCAGGAGATGAGTCACAAAGATTCAAATGGAAGGAGGAAGTGGCCAACTACTTGGAATGCTGTTGATGGCTCCAAGCAGAGCTGGACAAGAGGGGAGTCAGAGTTTGGCAACCCTAAGTCATCGGTGACCTTCACCAAAGTCAGGCTGGGGAGTAGGAAGAACAAATGGTTGCATGCTGATGAATGCGATCCAACAGCAGGAAGAAATTGTTGATGACACTGTCAATGAGCAAAATCAGTTAAGTGTGGATGACTCTTTTAAGACATTTTGGTATTAAAAAGTCAGAAAAATGGGGCTGTTCCTGGGGGTTGATGGGGGTCAAGGAAAATGTCTTTAGTAGGAGAGGCAAATGCATCATTGTATGTACACACATGTATGGAAGTACTTTGGTAAGAGAAATCATTAATGAGGACAGAAGAGATGAACAGACGCATGGGATTCTTGCAAAGGCAAAATGAGATGGAACCCAGAGAATAAGAGGCTTTGGTTGGTACCGGGAAAACCAAAAGCTGGGCCCGTGGTCCATGGGTCTGTAGCTGTGGTGGTAGGAATATGAGGAGGTACCTGACTGGTGGCTTCTAGTCTCAGATCAGCAGAGCTATGGCCATGAGCTGAGAGAGGCAGGGTGGGTTCTGAAGGCAAAAGAGAATGTAAGAAATAGCCTCTTGGAAAACTTGATGAGATTTATGGACTGTGTTGAGCTCATATTTGAGGGCTTGAGGGCCATACATTTTAAGAGAAACTAATTAGTATTGTTTCGCAATTTTTTTTCCTTACAATGTTCAGCTCCTCAGGTTCAGGCAAAGAGAAGTGGGTCATCAGATTCAGCTAAGGTAGGAGAATATAACCAAGGGAGAGAAGTGGAAGATAGGGCAAGGGAATAGTTACAGTATTGGAATCTGAAATGAGTAAGGAGGTGTAGTAGTCTGCTTGGGCCACCTTTGCAAAGTACCACAGCCTGAGTAGCTTAAACAGCAGAAATGTATTTTCTTACAGTTCTGAAGGCTAGAAGTCTGAGATCAAGGTGTGGACATGGTTGGTTTCTTCTGAGTCCTCTCTCCCTGGCTTGTCAATGGCCATCTTCTCCCTGTGTCTTCCCATGATCTTCCCTCTGTATGTGTCTGAGTCCTAATATCTTCTTATGAGGACACCAGATATATTGGATTAGGACCTCATTTTACTTTTACTACCTCAATAAAGACCCCATCTCCCAATACAGTCCTATTCTGAGATATTGGGGGGGGGTTAGGACTTTAACTTGGGGACTTCGAGAGGACACAGTTCAGCCCATGACAGGAGGGAAGTAAAAAACAAAGGTGGATGATTGATAGTGGAAATAGGTGGTGGAGTTGATGATTTTTAGGGGTCAGTGAGATAAGACATGTTGCAGAGTGTGGAATAACAGAGCCTGTGAATCAGAAAGTCAAGAGTGTGGTCTGAGTGTGGGATGCTTGAGACTGAGACTTCAAAGGCATCAGTTCCTGGTAGTGATGAGCTCCCAGGTGTGATTGTGGGAGTGGATGCCAAGGTTGGACTGTTAAACGTGGAAGATTGAGGGACTGAGAAAGGAGGGTCCCTGTGGGCCGGATCCTCTGCATAGGTGTTCAGGCTGTAGGAAAGATGACTGGAGTGGTTATGGGGAGGAAAAAGGTGAACCAGGAGCTCAGATCTGCATGAGGGGGTGTTGTGAGGGAGTCAGGGGAACACAGCAACAGAGGGGTGACAATGATGGGGGTTGGAAGGTAGAAGTCTAATAGCTATGGCTCCAAAGGAAAAGCAGTGAAGACGTGTTCAGGAGCAGGAACAGGGAGAAGAAAGCCACCTACCCCACCTGGCACTGGGGTGCATGAGTGTGAAGGAAAATAGTCTCCCGTGAGAGGACATAGGGAAGTGTTTCCCTCAGAGGGTGCCCCCTCCTGTTGAGGCAGAAGGTGAACAGAACACTTTCAGAAAAGATTGGCAATGCAAGGGGACTAGCCATCACTACTCAGATGTCATAAGGGGTTCAGGAAGGGGGAGAAGAGGGGAGTGAAAAATGAGCCCATGGAGGGGACTCATGGCATGGGAGTGCTACTGAGAGTCCCAGGGATGGTGGTGATCATTGCAAACAACACTCTCAAATCCTCAACTTCTGTGGAGGTACTCTCCTGGTTCCAGTGTGGTTGTGGGAGCTGGGGTGGGCATCTGACTGGCCCACAACAGTATCACAACTAGCACAATGGAAAGCCCAAGTCCCAAGGTCTCCACCTCCCTTCCTCGGACCTGGGCAGAGACCAATGCCCATGGGCACTGGGCCCAGGCAGGTGCTGTCTAACAAAAGGCTTCAGCCAAGCTGAGCTCCTCTTGTCATGGTGGAGGCCTGGATGGAGGCACCTGAGCTCAGACAAAATCGGCCCCTGAATTGTCATAGGGTCAACTGAGGCACAGTGGGGCAATTGATTTTATCAACTCTCTCCTTA